TCCATGTGATTTACTAACCATGGTAATAAAACTTTACCACATGATCTTTTGTTGATTCATTGAGGGATTGGTCCATGGTGCAGGATCCTCAAAGGTTCAAGACTTTATCGTTTTCATAAACAATCTCGCCTTTGATTATCACATATCTGATGAGCTCCTGATGGCCTCCGAACTGGTAGACCAGATGTTCCCACCTGCAACAGAGAGGAAGAGAACTCAAATTATAACAACCTCCTTATCAAGTCCCATCAAGCACCAGTTATAATCCAAACCTGTATATCTGAATCTCAATAACTGATTTTATTTTATGTTAATATTTGTAAATTATATTTTATTTTTATATTTTCAGTTTTCACTCATTTTAGTTTAGATTTTAGTAATTTTGTTGTGTTTTGTCATTATTATTCATTTTTTAACGGTAGTACTTAAAGGGATAGTTCACACCAAAAATGAAAATTCTGTCATTAATTACTCACCCTCATGTCGTTTCAAACCCGTAAGACCTCTGTTCATCTTCGAAACACAAATTAAGATATTTTTGATGAATTCTGAGAGCTCTCTGACGCTCCCATAGACAGTAAGGATCCTTACACGATCAATGTCCAGAAACGTAGCAAGGACATCGTTAAAATAATCCATGTGACATCAGGGGTTCAACCGTAATATTACGAAGCTACGAGAATACTGTTTGTGCGCAAAAGACAAAAAAAAAAACAACTTTATTCAACAATTCGTCTCCTCCGCGTCACCCTGGTGCCATTTTGGAGAATATCCAATGAACGTAAATGGAGTATGTTGTTCTGTGTGAGCTGCGGCACGCGGATACGCTGTTTACGTCGCTTACGCATTGATCTGAACGAAAACAACGTATCCGCGTGACGCAGCTCACACAGAACAGCATACGCCATTTACGTTCAGTGGATATTCTCCAAAATTGCGCCAGGGTGGAGATGAATTGTTGAATAAAGTAGTTTTTTTTTTTTTTTTTTTTTTGCCCAAAAAAAAATTCTTCGTAAAATGTTGTTTCCAAATGCCAGTTTCACCAGACCAGGTTTTCTCCACAAGTGTTCAAAAAGGCAATTGCTACTTTTTATCTCACTATTTTGCAAACACTAAAGTTTAGGGACTATTTTTCACTTTGAACTATATGCTTATTAGCATTAGGGGTGTAACGATACATGTATTCGTACCGAACCATCACGGTATGGACATCTCGTTTCTGGACGTTGATCGTGGTAGTACCCTTGCTGTCTATGGGAGGGTCAGAGAGCTCACGGGATGCATCAGAATATCTTAATTTGTGTTCCGAAGATGAACGAAGGTCTTACGGGTTTGGAACGACATGAGGGTGAGTAATTAATGACAGAATTTTCATTTTTGGGTGAACTAACCCTTTTAAGTACTTAAAGTTGAACTAAACAAAAATGAGAAATGTTGACTTGGCAACTAGCTGAAATAAAATAAGTTTAAGTTTTTTAAGTATTTAATTTTATTTCAGTTAATGTTTATTTTATTTCAAATTACATTTTATTTTGTTTTAGTTTTAATTAACTGTAATAACCCTGTTTTTTAATATATAACTATTTTTATGCCTTATTCAAACAACTTTTGAACGTAAACTATTCAGCAGTTGCCCTCGTAGATCTCTAGTTACTGTATAGATACGATCTAACCGTGGTGCATTGATGATCACAAGGTCCCCCTGTTTCCCGATTTCAAGCGATCCATGCGTTTGTGAACGGTTGAGAGCATAGGCTGCATTTATAGTACTTGCAGCCAAAGCTTCTGGCATAGACATCTTCATCAGCACACATGCCAATTGCATCACCATAGGCTAATAAACAGACAAAACAGAATGAAATGAAGTGGTCACGTTAAATTTCTACTGATAACTTTTGTTCCAAAAAGTTTTGAGTCTTATGGTCACCATTGAGCAGCAGTAGGCATTGGGGTTGAAGTCACTGCCAAGGGCCACTATGACTCCAGCATCAAGCATATCTCTCGCACGTGGTGGAGACAGCCTTCAACAGACGAGAGCATAGGCTGCATTTATAGTACTTGCAGCCAAAGCTTCTGTCATAGACATCTTCATCAGCACACATGCCAAGTGCATCACCATAGGCTAATAAACAGACAAAACAGAATGAAATGAAGTGGTCACGTTAAATTTCTACTGATAACTTTTGTTCCAAAAAGTTTTGAGTCTTATGGTCACCATTGAGCAGCAGTAGGCATTGGGGTTGAAGTCACTGCCAAGGGCCACTATGACTCCAGCATCAAGCATATCTCTCGCACGTGGTGGAGACAGCCTTCAACAGACACAAGGAGAATCAAATCCCTGATTTCTTCAAATTATTTTATGGAAAACATCAACATTGTAGTTATTTACCTTAATATATAGGCAGTGGTGGGCAGGAGGACTGCTGATGTTTTAGCTTTTGCCATTGCAGCAATTCCATCATCTGTCACTTCTTCTAAATGGCTGATGGCTAAAGCACCAAGTTCTGCCCCAAGCTGTTAGACAGGTGGACAAGGAAGAGACACAGATGATGTAAGAAACGACAATTTCAACGTTTATTAAAGTATATAAGTATGCATGCTTACATGAGCCGAGTTCATGGGATGGAGTTCATCGCCATGAAAGTTGATGTTGAGGCCCATATCTTTGCCAGCTTGGAGTATGCAACGTGTTGAGTTCAGATCAAACACACCTTTCTCACAAAATACATCAATGTTGTCCACCTGCAGTTCACCTGAAGCAATTTGCGTTTTTATCTTGGGCAACTGCACTGCCACAATGTCCTGAGTGGCTTCCTCCATAGTTTTACCTCTGAGAAAATGGATGTTAAACAAATTAAGGTTTGTAACATTTGGGGTTGGTCTCTTATGCTCACCAAGGCTGCATTTATTTAATCAAAATTACAGCAAAAACAGTAATAGTGTTTGTTATAAAGACTATGTACTTGGGTACTGCATGTGCTCCGCAGTATGTTGCTGATATCCCGATTGACAGTGAGTTTCTGGCTGAATTGATCACCCTCAGCATCTTGAGTTCAGTGTCCAGCTCAAGCCCATATCCGCTCTTACACTCCACCAGCGTGGTTCCAGCTCTCATCATGCGCTCCAGACGGCTCTGTAACCCATCTAATAGTTGTCGTTCGGTTGCTGAGCGAGTATGTGCCACTGTGAAATGGATTCCACCTCCTGCTTCATGCACTTCCATATATGTGGCACCGGCCAGCTGTACACACACAACAGGGCACAATGAAAATTCTTCATTACTTGTATTAAGATGCTTTGATGTTAAGATACTTGTTCAGATAACTTCTCTGACACAAAGACTTAAAAGATATACTCATATAACATAAAATGCAAGAGTAGAAACAGATGGGGGGGAAAAAAATGGAGCAAAACCTTCATGGCAAACTCGTGCACTCTGTCTCCGGCCCATACTGGATGTGTGTGTGCATCGACCAGGCCTGAAACATTGTGTTAAGATTCTTTCAACTTTTTTTTAAAGGAATTGTCAACAGAAACGGTGGTAGATGTAACACTTACCAGGGATGACACACATGCCAGAAGCATCCAGAACATTGTCAAACTTTGCTCCTTTGAACTGAGACTCAATGATGTCTGCTGGTCCAACAGCTTTAATTAGTCCATCACTACACACACACACACACACGTTGCGTTTCCATGTTTTATGGGGACATTCCATAGGCGTAATGGTTTTTATACTGTACAAAATATTTTTATCCTACACCTAAACCTACCCCTCACAGGAAACTTTCTGCATTTTTAGATTTTCAAAAAAATTAATTTTGTATGATTTATAAGCTTTCCTCACGGGGACCTAAAAATGTCACCACAAGGTCAAAATTGACTGGTATTACAATCCTTGTGGGGACATTTGGTCCCCACAATGTGATAAATACCAGGTACACACACGGCTAAATGAGGACAGCCCATATACTTAAATTGTTATTTTATAAAATGTATAATTACTAGAGATAGCCAAAATAACCCTAAAAGAAAACCTTTCTCCCAAAGGAGATTTTTCTAATTTCTGTGTACAATTTTGTCCCAATATATAATTAATTAATTAATTAAAAGCAGAGCGCTTATTGTATTTTTAACAACTTCATGTAATACATCTAATCTCCCTTTAAGGGAGCCATGAAATATATTTTTTCAAAGCAGTCTTCAATGCTTTAATTTAAAAAAAAAAAATGTTTTATTCTACCTTAAAAATAAATTTACTATAAAAATAGCTCATTAAAATTGTTTAAAAACATGCAATAAATTTTAACATAGCATATTAGATAACAGACCATGAGCGTTTTCCAAACGTTTATTTACATGCTGAATTCATCACGGTAAATAAGTGAAGACTTACTGTCCAATGAGCACACTGCCATTCTCAACGACAGCCAGCCTCTGCATCCCATCTCTGGTGAGGTACTCTTCACCACTTAAGTGTTTTTCCTTCTCTTGCCTGTGTAATTTTACAGAACAAATCTGTCTAAAGCCGAATGTATTAGTTTACTTAAATTGGCTGGAGTGACTACTGGGGAAAAGATTAATACCAAACAATATAGGATATTTAAATAAACTTACTACACATACTGTATATAACTTAATTAAAACGGTAATTGCTTTCAAATTGATCATTTAGAAAATGTTGAATACTCTTACAGTGCACTTTAGCATTCATGAACCACCTGTTACCAAATGAACCTGATATTCAGTGTCAACTAAAAAGACACAAGCTGGGACTTCATTCTGTCCATCTGCAATTACCGGACAGTTGGCATTACCAGAAACTGTATATGGTATTATATTTCAGAATTAGTGCTGAAACACAAAATCTTATTGTTAATGACAAACAGTATTTTTCTTTGGAATAACATGCACTTATGAATTGTTGCATTAAGTACGTAGTCGATTCTGATTTCATTTCGACTTTAAATATTACAGTCAAAGAAACGACAACAAAAACATACAAACAGCACAATTTATTTGTCATTGTGCCACCAATAACTTTTACGGTGTAAAAAATAACTAACAATTTTACAAAGAAAAGAGACACAGCTTCACATAAAACTGGGACAAACTGCAAAATAACCAATAAATCATCCAATCCGATTAGAAAAAGAAATCAAATCACTCTTCATTCTCTCATCTCGCCGTCTTCTTCCTCTTCTTCTACTCCTCTTATGTACAAAACATTATTACACCTGCAGAAAAGAAAACAAAGTTATTATATTATAATACAAAGTATGCATTTTCTGATATTACAGAGTTGTAAAGTGAGTTTCAACTTAAAACCTTACCTGATGAGCACCTCACCAAGATGCCCCGCTAATGCTCCATCCACATACTCTTCTGTGTTTGCCAGCTAGATATAGCAGAGAAACAGAGCTCAATAACCCATATCAACTCATGTGAGCATTGCTCTAAATCAGTGATTCCCAACCCTGGTCCTTGAGGCACCCCAACACTGCACATTTTGCATGTCTCCTTTCTCTGACGCACCAATTTCAGGTCTTGGAGTCTCTACTAATGAGCTGATGACCTGAATCAGGTGTGTTTGATTAAGGAGACATGCAAAACGTGCAGTGTTGGGGTGCCTCAAGGACCAGGGTTGGGAACCACTGCTCTAAATAACACCGGATATGTGCATTTTGTGACCTGCTAGTTTACTATGGATATTGTATGTAGCAGATAAAAACACCAGCATCAATGACTGATGGATTTATAAACGTGAATTATAATCAGACATACCTGCATGTTCATGTAGCCGTCCACGGACACCAGGTAGCCCTTGTACTCCATACCCCACTTCAGCTTCACCATCACAGGCTTTCCCGTGAGACCGTTCAGAAAGGGCTTGGGGTTCAGCGGCAAACTCTGCAGAAAAGAGTTCAGTGTTAGATATTAAGTTTGAAAAAATTGGAATTTCATATCATAATTTGGAACCAATCCTAAAGTATTCTAATAGGAATTCTTTTATAGAATTCCAACATAACAAAACAAAAAAAGAGAACTTTTCTATCATAGTCCGAAATAAGACTGGATAGGGTAACTTAACATGCTTCTGTGGAATATCACAAGGAACTAATATTCCAAAAAATGTCAAGGAGAAAGACATTACTGCAAAAAAAAAAAAAAAAATGCAGGCTTCTGAAGAAGATTTGACTATATAACGTTACAATAAAATGTTGTTCATCTCATTAGAAACTTTAGTTAACCGTCTTATAGTATCCTTGTTGGATTCCACTGAATTAGTTGCGAATTGAACAGAGAAATACAACACAAACACCTTTAAGATTTTGTCACAAGGAAAGCAAGCTAGCTTTCTACACAGTGAGCATTTTAAACACTATCTAGGGAGGCAGCTGACTAGGTTGCGACATAGCAAGTGGAACTATTGATCATACGAGCTCAGTGTTTCTAACAAAACATTGATCGCTACTGAAAACAACGTCCGCTCTAAGTTCCAGATGCTAACATACAGCCGCATTCTCAGCTCATTCATGAATGAAAACCACCTCGCTCTTTTACAGAACCTCAGATATTAAGCCAAAAGGAAATGATTCTGTAGAACTTACCATGACTGTACAGCTAAAGTAGTATTAAGGGGAAAAAAATTGTTTATTTCAATAGCATAGGCTATTGTAGCACACTCGCACGCCTTGCCGCCGAATGAGGGAAGGACTACGAGCGCACTTTGACCGCACGGCGGGAGAGAAGAGCGCGTCTGAGCACAGCGCCACACGCAGCACTGGCGGGTAACAGCACCATATGAGCACAATGGGCCAGGATGGTAGTCTGGAATGAAATTAAAGGGGTCATATGATGCTTTTTTAAAGACCATTATTTTGTGCAGCATTTGAAGTGGATCAAAAAAAAATTTCAGCTAAATTGTCCTAAAACAAGAACGCATTTTGGTTTTAGGACAACTTTGATGAAAGGTTTTGATCCACTTCAAATGTTGACTACTGTAGAATGCCTTTTACTATTTTGTACAATTAATTACGTGCATTTCTCAATACCTACACGTAAGTAAATAAATAAAAATAAAATGCATGCAATTAGATCTTGCACAGTTGATTCGTCTTCTATCTAAAGACTTTTCCAGAAGGTTTTTGCATTTTATTACCATGTATTCAAAAGAGGCCATATTTGAAATGTTTACATGGCTGACAGGATGGATTAGATATGCCAAGAAATTATTTTCCAGGTCTATTGCCTGAAAGGATGTAGCAAGATATAGACAGAATCTATTAGTTTATTGTATCATGTGTACCTGCAGCACAAAATAAAGTAAATTAGTTTTTAAATAAAAGTGAGTTATATGAATTTTTCCAGAGATGTGCTGGATGCTTTGTGAATGAATCAAAGCTTAGCAAAGCTGCCTGAAAGCCCATGCTATAGCGGATTAGAATGGAAATCTTTTGCAGATCCGCATTCCAGACAAGTAATTTTTCAATATTTCAGAAAGTGGCCAGTCTTTCATCCTTTACTTTCCTGTTGACCAATCTTAAAATGCAGCCTTTCCGCCTTCACCAAATCAATATACACTCTTCTCTTTTCCTGTCAGATGATTTCACATGATTTAAATCTCAAAATATCCTTATGCTTTGATTTCAGTTACATTAGGAATCATAATTTGGAACCAGTCCTAATGAGCGCCATCCACGAATCAAATAAGAACTTTTGATAAACTGAAAAAAGAACAGTGTGAAACAGTTTTCTTTATTAAATAGCTTTTGCTAATTAAAATACATTTGAATGATAATTTAAATGATGTTAAAGGGGTCATATGATGCTTTTTTAAAGATCATTATTTTGTGTATTTGGTGTAACAGAATATGTTGACATGCTTTAATGTTCAAAAAACACATTATTTTTCAAATACTGTACATTATTGTAGGTCCTCTATGCCCCGCCTCTCTCAAACGCTTCGTTTTCTACAAAGCCCCCTCCTTTAGGGGGGCGTGGCAGAGTCTTAACTTTGATAAAGAATATCTCTTTGGTTTTGAGACTTTAGTCTTTGCAACTTCAGGGATCTTATCTATGCACAATCAGCTTGTAACACTCCAAAGAGAAAGGAAAACTTGAAATCGCATCATATGACCTCTTTAACCTCAAATGACAGCCATATAAAACATGATATTTAATCTCCGTTCAGAGGCAAAAGCATCTATGCCATTTGAAATTTTCTTCTAAAATTAGCAGTTTTCTCAAGCTCCTATGTGTAGGTTCAGTAATTTCACTACATTGCCATTAAAGTGAAATAACTGAACATAAACAGGAGCCTGAGAAAAATATTAATTTTAGAAGAAAATCTCAGACAGCACTTAGAGGCTTTTGCATCTAAACCCTATTTGTCATTTTCAAGGTATTTTTTAACCTATAGCCTACTCTTAAAAATAACGGTTCTTTTTTGGCATTGATGGTTTCATGTGAAACCTTTCCATTCTAAGAAATGTTCTATATAGTGGGAAAATGTTCTTTGCTCTTTAGAATGTTCTTCACACTAAGAAAAAAAATAATACGAACTGTTCAATGAAAGGTAATTTGGGGAACCAAAAAATTATTATTCTAAGAAATTGCTGCTGCAAACCCCCTTTTGGAACCTTTATTTTTTATAAACTATCATGCATAAACTATTATATGGGGCATTAAGACAAACTTCCATGTAATATTAAATAACCGAATATAAAATTAGTGAAAACAATGATCAAAGATAACTTAAAAAGTCTACAGTTAGCCTATATAATAATTTAACTCAGTAGAAAGTGTCCATTTAGACATCTAAATTAGGTAAACATTTGTGCGAAAGAGATCTGACGTTGAATGACTCCGATGACTCATGCCAGGAATGCTCCATTAAAGGGGTCATATGATGCGATATCATTTTTTCCTTTCTCTTTAGAGTGTTACAAGCTCTTGGTGCATAAAGAAGATCTGTAAAGTTGCAAAGACTAAAGTCTCAAATCCAAAGAGATATTCTTTATAAAAGTTAAGAGTTAGCCACACCTACCTAAAACGGCTCGTTCGAACACGCCCCCACATATCTACCTCACTATGTGGGAAGATTTACATAACGCCGCCCAAATGTTCACGCAAAAAAAGAAGGCGTAACTTTTATTCTCGATGTAGTTTTGTTGTTTCCGCCGCCATGTCGTAAAGACGCTGTGTGCTTCGTTGTGAAAGCGAAGCTACTTTGGTCTTCCAAAAGAGGACGATATCCGCTTCGTCATACCTAGAGCTGATCCGTGCTGGTCGCGGAGGGAATACATCAACTTAGTGCTGTGGATCGCCGAATTGGCCCTCACCGTTTGTTCTTTTTAGCAGCATCATATGACCCCTTTAAATCGAGAAAAATGCTGGGAGAAGGGGCGTGGCCTATGTTCTTCAAAGCTCCTGTCACTCAAAGGGACTCCAGATTCCAACTCAGGTGTTACAGAGCAGGACGCGCAGCCCCACGAGTCGCGCTCAGAGCAAAACACACACACAGCTCACTTCTACACGAGCAGCGCGGCCGGGGACAGAAGTGACTCTGACAGACGCTTATTTGAGGTTACACACCAATGGCGTTGTCGCGCGAGAGTTGTGTCCTATTTCAGCTGAACAGTTTCTGTTTGTTACTGGAGCAGATCACCTCCGCTCAGCGTTTGCGCACCTGGCTAACCCACGCCAATGAAGTCGTGCTCCTACATGCAATCTGAAAGGCTCTGGAGTGGAATCAGGTTCCCGTGCGTATTGTGGATTAAAACCCCTCGCGGGGTTTGATACGTGTAATTTGTGGCTTTTTTTTTTTACTGGATTGATGACTAATATGGAGCTGCCAGGGAGATGTGTGTTGTTCGCAGCGCTCCTGATGAGCGTTCCTCACCCCGTGCGTTCAGGTCAGTGTTTTACGCATGTAAACTATTCACCCAGCAGGTGCGATCAAAACGAGTTGTCTGGTTGTCAACCGATCAGAGACTCGTGGTGTCTGACGAACTGATTGATATGGAGAGAAAGAGACGGGGATGATTTGAATATGCAAAACTAAACCAAACTTTGCATATGCATACACACCCAACATCAAGATGTGGCCGCTGAATCCGACCAATTTGCAGATTGATTCTGCATTTGTAGATTATATTAAATTATATTAAAGCACGTTAAAAGTGCGTTTATTTATTTCTTTGTACTATAATTGTACTTATATAAAAAAAAGTGTTCGTTTATATGTTTATCAGTGCGGGAGTTATACAGTGACTTTAAAACGCTAATTTATTAAATATAAATGTGGCCAAAAAATGTAAAGGTCATTTTCGGGCACAGTCTGTCAATCTCGTGCAACCCAAATCGTAATTTTGTTTCACAACACATATAGCTAAACATATCTAAAATATATCAATATCCAAAAGGTTTTAAAAAGTAATAAACAGTGCTGTATAGATTACTTACAAATGGTAGACAATTAAATTGCAGTTAGTAACGTAATCTGTTGGATTACACACATTAGGTAATGTATTCTGACTACTTTTTGATTACTTTCAGATTACTTTTGACCAAATTCATAAGAAAATATTTTCCAATCTTTGTTTTCAGCATCATGAAGTGCATTAAATTTTAACCAACTTAAGTTTCTGAGTTCCTGAAAGAACTGCAGGGGGTTTGTGAAGTGACGAAAAGCTAATAATGAATTAAATCATAAAAATATCAAATTAAAGTTGTTTTGGCCTCTCCATTCTGTATTCACCTGACTGGCTGGTGTGTGTAGTTTCATAAAACTGGAAAAAAATTCCAAATGTATATAAGATGTAGGATTTTTTAGAAAAGATAATTTACAAGAGAAAAAAGAATTAGAGCGAATCAGTACATTCTGAGTAATTTACTGCCATTGTGTAAATAATACTCATGTAATCTATAAAAAAGTAATCTGATTATTAGCACTCTAAAATGTAATAGGCTAATAGTACTTAGTGTTTGGAATCTGATTATGTAGCCCAGACTAGTGTAACTGGTCAAAGATAATTACTTGTTGACATACTACTTAAAACTGTCTTTTCTCAAAACTACAAGTCTTAGACCTTTTTGGCATTTATGTTTTTTTCCTGTAGCAGGGGCGTAGATTACGCGGGGGACGTGGGGTACATCATTACTCCAGTCACAATATCCTTCAGAAATCATTAAAAAAGGTTTCTTGAGCAGCAAATCAGCATATTAGAATGATTTCTGAAGGATGTGCTACGCCCCTGTCCTGTAGTGTGCAAATGCTTTTTGGAACAACTATATCTTCTAGTCAGTGTCTGTTGGAATGTGCATTGTTTTGCGTTCAGTCAATTTGTTTGTGTATGTGTTGTATTTTAAAAATGTTTTACTTGTTTATATGTACCAGGATGTGAGAATCGGGTGTGTAATCCACGAATGGGGAACCTGGCAGTCGGGCGTCCTGTACAGACAATTTCCCAGTGTGGCTCGTCCTCTCCAGAACGCTACTGTAGGCCTGTCTACAAAATGAATAGATGTGTGTTGCATTGTGAGGTGTGTGATGCTTCAGTACTGCACCGCGCACACCCACCTGCGTCCATGACAGACTCACCCTTCAAACACCCACCGACCTGGTGGCAGTCCGCTCAGGGTGTTTCCATCGAAACTCTAAAGCTGGATTTGGAGGTGGAATTTTACTTCACCCACCTCATTATCATATTTCGGTCACCACGCCCTGCTGCCATG